CCTTTACTCCATCCTCAAGCAAACATGGATCTGTCTTCTATCTGATGACTCTGCACTTTTTAGTGTTTAAATATATACTTTTGTCTAGCTTCTTTTAATCAGTGTTAATTACTTTTACATTATCATTCATGTTCTTGCATATCAATGGCTCATTTTTAAATGTCTGGGTAGAATTCTACTGTATGGACATACAATAATTTGCTCACCCATTTGCCTGTTTTAATAGACATTTGCTTCCTGTTTGGGGTCTATTATAAACAAAGCTACCAAGAACATCCACGTAGAAGTCTTTGTATGGAGACATATTTGTTATCTTTGACTAGATGGATTCATGACAGATATTTAACTTTTTTAAAAAATCGCCAGATTTGGGGGTGGAGCTCAGTGGTGGAGAAAGTTCTAGCATGTGGCCGAGTTCAACATGGGCTGTGTACCCTTTTCTATCCCAGTCCTTCACATCTTGTCAAGTCATGTTATAAAAATAATGCTGACCACAAAATGATTTACATCCTGGGAAAATGTGTGAAAAGGTTATAATCATTTCTTCCTTGGCTATAATATTCCAGTGAAACCATCTGGGTCTAGTTTCCTTTGTAAGATGATTAATGACTACCTTCAGCTTATGTAATAACAATTATTAGGACTATTTTAGGTTTTTTAATCTACTTGTATCATTTTTGGAATAGCATTTTTCTAGATAAATTTTCCATAATACCCTTATCTTTTTAATGTCTTAGGCATCTAAAAAAATGTTCCGTGGACACCTTAGCCTTCTCAATCTCAATCATTTCTATATTATTATGTTTAATATATTTCATAAATAGACTTGATTACTTTAACCGAGACTGTTAATCTTTTAGCAGTGACCTTTTGTCTATTCACCTTTTAATGGACATTGAGGGCGGCAGGATGCGTCAAGGACAAGCAAGGACTTTCTGGTTTTCGATTTTTTAACCATTTAATAAACACAAAGCTGTAAGAGTATTCTGTGGAAGGATGAATGTACAAAGCAGTCTAAAACTCTCCAGTGACTATTTTTCCTCTTTGAATAAAAGTAACTGCTGCACATCAAATTGCTAAGGCATCTTTCAAGTGTATCTTTTTTATTACAACTTGGTATCATGCTTTCTTCTCTAGCCTTGGTTGCTCTAAAAGAAGATTTTTATCCTTAAGAAATTAAGGTAATGTTTTACTGTAGAAAACATTAACCTATTTAATCCTCACACTACCTCAAGGTATTCCATTATTGTCTCCATTTTAAAGATGAGGAAAGGATTCACACTGTTTAATGCAGTTAGAATTCAAATCCAGAGGCCACTTCATTATGTATATTCTTCTGACAGATAATTCTTCTAGGGGTTTTTCTGGGGCCTGCACAACTCCTCAAAGACCAGTCTCCCTTCAAATGATTCCTCTCTTGCTAAGCCATTGATTTTAGGTGATATCTATTCATTATTTTTCGGATACTTTTCTACCTTAATAGCCCAACCAGTGCATCCTTAGCTTGACTGGCTACTAAAAAATGTTCCCACAAAGGCTACCAATAGATGTCTCAGTTAACACAGATATTTTTCAGTTATTACTTAATTTGCCTTATCTAAAGCATCCGATTTGTGGTAGATTTCCAACAGTAGTTCAACGAATGTTAAATGCCCACAATGGCACCAAGTTATGAAATCTTAAAAAAAAAAAAAAAGCAAAACCCAGAATATTCTGTCTTTAAAGGCCTAACTTTTGCCATCATTTTGAGTTATACTGAAGCAGTAAAAGTATTTCAGATGTAGAAAGTACCACGTAAAAGTGGTTCTTAAACATTTAAAGAAAACGGGCTGCCTTGTAAAAAGCCTTTCTCCCTCTCCTTCACTCAGGAAACACTTTACTAAAAGAATCCAAGCACAAATTCTGGCATTTTTGCCTTAGAATGTGAAGAGAACAAAACTCTTCTATTAAGAACGTGTGTTACAAATTATTTAAGGCTTCAAATGTGAATAACTACACCAATATAACTTTTATTATTTTCGAGGCCTGTTCTTGCCAAGATTTTCTAGGTGATAATGCTGATGCCAATACTTTTTCCAAATGCCTATCACAAACAAGTTTTCCTACCTCTAAAAATAAGCTTTACCGTGGTTATTTTGGGAAAAAAGTAACCTCTTCCATACACACAAATATTTTTAAAGTGTTTCTTTTGAACTGGGCCTGGCACATGCCATGTTAGACATTATAAGAACCACACGAAGCTTGAAAAATAAGGCCCGTGGCATTTTAGTAACCAAGAATTTTTCCCTTACAGTGGAAACGTTCAAGAACTGCGTTTCCCAGTGTGCCTTAAAGTCTCAGCAGCACGTGTCCGCCTGGATTCTCTTCTCCAGTTGCTTTTTGTCAAGGGACGGCTGCAAGCACAGCCAACATTCCTAAAACGCCCATTGGCCCACACCCTGGGGCCAGGCTCTCGAAGGAGCCCAGTAGCTCATTGGTCGCCGCATCTCAATGAAGCGGGACACGCCGGTTTCTCCGCCACACTGGCCTCTCTAACGCGCCGGGAAACCGCGGAGGGGCCTAAGAGGGCGACGGGTTGCTACTGGTGTGAACGCCGCCAAGAACAGGGCCCATGCATCCTCAACATCGCCTGTGCATTTATCTGCGCTTCCATTTCCACAGCAAAACTACAAAAAGGGGACTACCGCGCGACCAGCTCAGCTCTCTCGCACTTGAGCTCCCGCGGTGCGAGTGGGGCCCCATTCCTTTCCTTAAGCTTAAGCATTAAAGGTATTACGTCCTGAGACAGACAAGCTTCTACCCCACAAATGTAGACAGACCTCCCCACCCCTGCACTTCTCCTCAACCTTACTGCGGTCTCCCGGTTCCTGCCGTCTCAGTAACAGGTTACACAACCCAAGGTCAAGAGACCAGGGGGCAACCCTTGGCGAATCCACGGCGTCTCCAGTGGCTTCCCCAACATTATCACAACCCACCCACTGCCCTGAAAACGCTCTGCCATAGAGCACGTTAGGGCGGCGGTGGGGCCCAGCCTCTGCGACACGGCGGCTCCCGCCCAATCCCCGCCGCCCAAGCGCCACACGTTGTCCGCCGAGACCGCGGCGGGAGGCCTGCTCGCCAACCCCTCCACCAAGGCCAGGGGGCCCCTTCCTCTAGGCGCCCAGGGAAAGAAGAAAAAAAAAAAAGAGTCCCGCTCACTCCCTCCGCCCGTACCCGAGGCTGGCACACCCGAATTAGCGCCTGAGCCAGCGCAGCCACACCTGCCCCAGGGAGCCCGCGCAGCCTCCCACCCAGGCGCCCGCCACCTTTCAGGGCCCGTACTGCCAACAACGGACAGGAGTGTGGAAGAGGCATGGGCCGCAAAACCACGCCGCGCGGCGTCGCCCACCGCCCGCCGCCCCGCACGCGCGGCCGGGGACTTTACCTGAGCACGCGGCCATGCCGGCCTCCTCCCCTCCCCCAGGGCAGTGCCTGCCGGGCAACGGGAGAAGCCGGTTCCCGCCTCGCGTGGACGCGCTGATTCCCCACAAGACTCCGCGCCCTCCACGGCGGTCGAAACGACTCCTGCTCGCGGCCTCGGCCCCACCTGAAGGCTGCGGGTATCCGGCAGGGGCTAGGGTCTGGTGCTTTGAAAGCAGAGACGACCCTCGGGCCCGGATCTGCGGGAGAGCGCCACGGGCACCTACCTCGGGATAGTGCGAAGATCCCCAGATCCTTGGTTTGCGTCGGGTTGCTGCCGGGAGAACCAAACCTCCAGCAGCTTCTCGGTCCCTTCGAAAAAATGTGCAGCTTCCATCACTGTGAGACTGCGAACAACCAACAACCACAGAAAATCAACTAAATTAAATCTCTTCTCCCGCCGCTGCCGCCGCCGCTGCGGATTGTTTCAGCTGTTACTAAAGTTCAGGTTCCTTTTTTTGCTATAATTTTATATTAAATTTTTTAAAAAAAGGATTAATAAAATTTTCCCGGCTTTGTGTGTGTGAGCGAAAGTTGAATGTGAGTCTGTTGGAAATAGAGGCAGATACAGTTCAGTCTCTTGTAGTCCGCTGCTTTCCCGTTACAGAGAGTAGAGCGAGCGCTAGCTAATGTCGCCGGCCATACTGTGTAAGCGAGAGCGCTGCGTGAGTGCAGACCTTATATACGGCGGGTCTCCGAAAGGCCAGGAAATGACGCATAGTCCCGCCCCTACGACTCATAGGAGCAGCTTGCTGTCACTCACTAATGGCTGAGCCGCGGCTGGCTGGCGTTGGGCCGATAGGGAGCGCTGGGAACTACCAGCTGCGCTGCAGATGGAACTATCACAGTCCCCTGAGCCGGATCCTCCGCGGCGTTGTCCGACTGGGGACCAGGAACTGGGGTTGAATTCAGAGTGGGTGGGGAGAGCGGGAACGCTGTGAGGAAAGGCTGTCCAGCCCTGCATAAAACTTGTTAACAGAGAACATGGGGGCGTCCTTAGGGGTGTTGGCGGGTTTGACTGGGGTGGTGGCCTGTGCTAGGTTGGCTGGTGGTTTTGATTCTGTTCAGTTTGCCGCGACTGCTGAGGTACTTGGCCGTTCTTTAAAGTGTGTTTCCTTGAGGCGAACGCAATCAAGCATTAAAAGTCAGCATTTGTCCGTGACATACAAGGTGCCAGGGGTCGAATTAGAAGGCGCTTTTATTCAGCTCCCGCGTTATCTGACGTGCAAATGAATGTAATTCTCGACCCGTTTACACAATAGCCAGAAGCGTTGTCTCCTTTTCAAAAGGGGAAAAAGCAACGTGGCGTCCAGCCTGGGAGGGCTCCTGTACCTATCTCTCACCATGTGACTGGGCGAGCCTTGGAGTTGGCCAAACGCAACAGTCGCCCTTGAACTGGTCGGGAATTTATTCAGCAAAACTACTTCTAGAAACTAGGTTTGTTAAATATAATCTGAGGCTATTTGATGATATGTTTCTTAAAACTGATGAACTGATTGAAAGGGTGTCTCCCAATCCCCCAAATTTGCGGCGCAGTTATTGATGTAACAGATTCCAGAGCTATCACTTGAGGCAATTTAAAGAATCATCGCTCTAATATATCACTAATCAATCAAAAGTATAAAGTAGTTGTGAAGTCTACTTTATTCTTTAAAAGTAGTATGAAGTATAGTTACGTTTAACCAGAGGTGGCAAGATTGTAATGAAGTTATTTATGACTTGGAAATACTAGAGTAAAAACCACCTTGACATAAAAACTACCATTGTCACAAGACAAAAGTAACTTACTCCTATTATTCGTAATGAAAAACTTTCCTCAAAGTGAAATAAGATAATATCAGCATGAAAAATCCACTGAAAATGACATGGTGGGAGTTCCTACTGTAGATACCCTGCAAGATGGTACTTGTGTAACAAAAACGAGACCAGTCAGTATGAAACTTGTGCCATGTTTTTAAAAGCATCCAACTCAAATTGGGGATTGGAACAAAAGATAATAAATTGTTACTTATTTTATTATAATAATAATTAAAAGAGGATGTAATTGTTAAGCTTGGAATAAAGATAAAAGGAGTATTTCTATTTTACAAGCTATTCAATTATTTGATGGTTGCTTATTGAAATGAAGAATCTGCCTACTAAACCACCTCAAACACTAATTGTGGTATAAACATAATTTGGCTTATAATTGCTTATAATTAGTTGCTTTTCAATTACTATTATGCTTTTCCCAATGCAATTTAAGTCAATATAAAAGTGCCAAGAATCTTGGCAAGGTAAATCCTTGTTAATTTGATATAGGATAATTTAAAATAGTGTCTATAAATTGGATTGATCATTTGTAAAATATATAGTTTTTCTTAGGCATCATTATTGTCTTGAAGCTCAAAATCCTTTGTACTTTTTTTTTTCCTTTGGTACTAGGGATTGAACCCAGGGGTGCCTTACCATTGAAGTACATCTACAGCCCTTTTAATTTTTTATTTTGATACAGAGTCTTGCTGAATTGCTTAGGGCCTCCCTAAATTGCTGAGGCTGGTGTTGAACTTGGTAATCCTCCTGTCTCAGCCTCCTGAGTTGCTGGGATTACTGGCATGCCAACCATGCCCAGCTCTTGTACTTATTATTAAGTTAGTTAATCTTAACTTAAATATTTCACTGAACTCAACATGTCTAAAATGTTTTAGACATTCCTAAACTGGTTACCTTTCTCATCAACCTCTTCCCATTAGAGTGTCCTTTTTCCCTCATTAAAAAAAAAAAAAAAAAACTTATTGAGCAGCATTTGATCTTGCAGGTCTTTTTAAGACACCACTCCCCATACTCTTTTTAGTAATCATTCCTAATAGAATCTCAACCTTGTGTGTGTGTGCATGCACATGCGCTTGCTAGGAATTGAACCCAGGACCTCCAACATGCTGAGTACACACTTTATGACTGAGCCACATCCCCAGCTTTATTCCAACTCAACTTTAGAAACTCCTTACCTGACTCCACTCTTCTCTTGAGTTGTAACCCAATTTCTCTGCTCCCCTTAACAGTAAAACTCCTTGAAATATATAAAAGACAAGTCCACACTTGCAATTTCTACCTCATTGCTTCTTCAAATCCTCCAAATAGAATTTTGTCTCTAGAACTTGACCAAAAAGCCACTTCTCAGGGTCCACATCTTGCTAAACCCAGTGGTTCAATGGTTGGTCTCAATTGTCATTTATTCAGTCTTTTTGTGTGTGCTCATATGGTACTGAGTATTGAACAAGCTAGGCAGGCACTCTAAGACTGAGCTACAACTCCAGCTCTTTTTTCTTTGGCAAGGTGGGTACTAGAGGATTGAACCCAGGAATAGTTTACCACTGAGCTACATCCTGATCCCTTTTTTCATTTTTTCTTTTGATACAGGGTCTCACTAAGTTACCTAGGGCTTTGCTAAGTTGCTGAGGTGGTTTGTGAACTTGCCAGCACACCTGGCCCCAGCTCTTTTAAAAAAAAAAAAAAATTCCCTTTGGTACCAGGGATTAAACCCAGGGGTACTTATCCACCGAGCCACATCCCCCAGTCTTTTTTTTTTTTTTTTTTAAGATGTCGGGCTGGGTATGTGGCTCAAGCGGTTGCGCACTCGCCTGGCATGCATGCGGCGCGGGTTCGATCCTCAGCACCACATACAAAGGTGTTGTGTCTGCCAATAACTAAAAAATAAATATTAAAATTCTCTCCCCACTCTCTTAAAAAAAAAAAGATGTCAATGGATCTTTATTTTATTTATTTAAATTTGCTGAGAATCAAACCCAGTGCCTCACACATGCTATGCAAGTGGTCTACTGCAGAGCCACAACCCCAGCCCCCCCAGCCCTTTTTAATATTTTATTAGAGACAGAGTTTCACTTAATTGCTCAGGGTTTTACTAAATTACTGAGACTGGCCTTGAACTTTGTTTATCCTGTCTTAGCCTCCTGAGTCACTGGGATTACAGGTATGTGCCACCACACCCAGCTTTTTTAAAAATTTTATTTTGAGACAGGGTCTGCTAAGTTGTTTAGAGCTGGCCTGATCCTCCAGCTTCAGCTTGAGTATATTCAATCTTTCAATAAGCTTGTTGTACAATTACCTGTACTTAGCCAAGCGTGGTAGCTCACTCCTGTAATCCTAGTGCCTGGGAGGGTGAGGCAGGAGGATTGAGAGTTCAAAGCCAGCCTCAGCAATTTAGTGAGGCCCTAAACAATTTAGTGAGATCCTGTCTCAAAATAAAACATAAAAAGGGCTGGTGATGTGGCTCAGTGGTTAAGTACCTCTGATGGTTCAATCCCCTGTACAAAAAAAAAAAACAAAAAAACTTGTACTTTCCTTTTGTGTGTGGGGAGACCAGGTGGAGGTGGAATCAGGGTCTCACAAATACCAGGCTCTACTACTGAGAATGCTCTTTCCAGTATTCTACCACTGAGCTGTACCCCCAGCCTTACATTCTTTCCTGAAATAATTCTCCTGGTTCTTGTGACACTTTTCCCTTTTTGGGTTTCTTTCTATACCTGGATTTTCTTCTCTGTGCTGCAGTGCTCTTGGCTTCACCTCTGTGCTCTTCTCAATGTACACTTTCTCCCTAGATGACCTACCTCATCTAGTCCAAGTTTTTGGAACACTTGCCTACCTGACTACTCAAATGCCAAATGAGCATATAGAAGCTAATGTGACTAAAACAAGTTGTTCCTTTTCAAAACAAAATCTGCTTCCTTCCTATAAACAAAACAAAACCAAAAAACTAAAACCCAAATGTCCTCAACTGAAGCTCCCTGGCTGACCTCTCTGCCTCCACTTTGCCTCTTGATGGTCTCCCCTTCACACAGCAATCATCTCATTACATAGCAGTTGCTCAAACCCAAAGGCAAACTTTATCCCACTCTTTCTTGCATTCCCTTACATCTAATCATCCTTTGCGTTGCTGATACATCTAAAACATTTCAAGAATTTGTCTTTTCTCTCTGTCTTCTTTACCACCACCCTAGTTTGAGCATTAAAATGAGTTCCCTTGGATTACTGCAATAGTTTCCTTATTAGTCTCTGCATTTAACCTGCCACTTCAGTTGATTTACTACAGAGTAGCCAGAGTGGTATTTTTAAAACATAAGCCCAATTATGACAAGCAGTAAAATTCTCCAGTGGTTTCCCATCATACTTGAAATAAAACTTTCTTAACCTAGCCCTCAAACCCTTATGTGATCTGGTTCTGATTAACCTTCTTCCAACATCATCTTCACCATTCACTCCTTGTGTCCTTTTCTCCTTTAGGTCATTTTTATTTATGTAAAATGCATTTTCTTTTCTTTTTATGACTTGTTTATTCTTGTCATTTAGGTTTTAGTTCAAATGTTCCTTCTTCTAAGAGGTCAACTCTGGTAGTAGGGAACAGGCTAAGCTATTATAACAAACAGATCTCCAAATACAATAACTCAAAAAAGATTCAAGTTTCTTTCTCACACCCACATAATACTTCTGAGGTAGGCAGGTGGTCCAGGGTAAGTGGGAAGCTCTGCTCCAAGAGATCATGTGGATAATCAGGTTTGTTCTAATCTGTTCTTTGCATAAGATGCAGTCTTCATTCTTATGCTTGAAGCTTGTGTAGATTTTTCCACTTTAGAAAAGGAAGAAGAGGAAAATAAAAA